GTATCTTTATGGTTTTTTTTTTTTATTTTTAGTAATCTTTTCAGATTTTTTGTGAAAATTTTTATGTGATGTAATGTATGTATTACCCGATATTCAATCAATATGCCGCGATAAATATGAAACAACCGTGACTGCGACCCACGACGGCTAACCATGATTGCAACTATGACCTGGTTTGAGGGGAACAATTACCGACCACCATTGACGAATCGCAATCCTTTGACTGGCCCGCCATTAAACATCCTATTCTTGCATATTCTTCTTCAACACTTCTACGTGGATGTATCAACCGTAATAGGTTTCCCTGAAAATATCTTGGGCCTTAATTCACACAGTTGCATTGGCTGCACTTACAGTTGAATCTGAGAACAACATGTTCAAGGCGTCTTGGTTTCTTGAGTTTGGTACTTTCAATCTTCTCCCTTAAGACAAGTATTTGCTGAAGTTTGATACACATTGAGAAACTTATTTGGTTTTTTTTTTTCCCACAAATTTGACTCAAAAATTCATAGATTCATTAGAACACAAAATTCATCCTTTTTTTTAACTTAGACACAAATGTGATCGCCATCATAAATCCAATGCAAGAATTCAAACATAAGAGGTATACAATGATCCACGTTGAAGATGAGTTTTTACCTCTATTTTTTAAAAAAAAAATCTACAATTGACAGTCAATCCCCCCTCCCCCTCATTCATTCAGATTTAAACTCAGTGGTGATATTGGAGGACTCAAGGAATTGACGTCTATGTAGGATTTTGTCAGATTGATTACAATATATAAGCTTTGCATGATCCTTATAATATACAATAAGTTTTCAAAACATGTGGGATACTCATAATTATCTAGAAGTATTATAAGTATTCCAACTCGTCTTTTCCTTTACTTAGTCAACTTTGTTGCTGGTAGCTTGTTTCTTTTCATGGATCCACAATAGTGATTGCAAAAGAACAATTCATGGCATAGGTATAGAGAGTGATTTAAAACTGGATGATTGAAATTGAATTTATGAGTATAATTTTCAACAAACTACAAAGATTGTTGTGTTTTCTGCATATTGGAAATTGTCTTATTATCTATATTGATTAAGTTTAAAGTTATTTATAGAAGTTGAAATTTGACAAAAAACAAAATAAAGTTTAAAGTCTACGTTCATTGTATCGAGTTATTGCCGTTGACAATTGTAGAAACCCTGGATCATTTCTTGATCAGCACAGGCTAGAAAAAAAAAAGCCAAAGTTGTAGACATTTGTGGAAAAAAGAACAAGAAGAAGAAGAAGAAGAAAAAGGTATTGAACTCTCTTGTCTTGCATTTGCCATCTCGCTACTAATTAGCTCCAATTTAATATTCCTTGGGGTTATATAGATATCAGTCAACACGTTTAAACTTATCAGCATATATTCTTGGTTTTAGCATATTTAATTAAAGGCTAGCTCCATTTAACAGGTGCTCAATTCATTAAAATATAGTATATATTTCAAATGTCATATTTTTGAAAATATAAAAGTAATTAGAAAAAGTATATAAATACAAAGAAGGACAGTTAGGATTAAATAGGAAATGTATATAAATGCAAGAGAGGTAATAATTGTAATATACGTGTATACATGGTAAGTAAGACGAATTTTAGCGTGTCTTAATAAAACTCTTAATTAAATTTATGTCCAAAATCAAATGGTCAACTATCACGTTTTTTTCCTTAAATGCTCTCATATTCAATTCATTTATACATAATTATTCAAACTCCATACCATCTTTGGATGCCACCAATTGGTTATGTTTATATTTAAGGATGGCAACGGGGCAAGATTGGGGCGGGGGCTGCCTACAAATTCCCCCCACCCCCGCCCCGTCCCCCGCTCCCCCTGCCCCACCCCGCTTTCCCCGCGGGTGCTCCCGTGGGGCTAATAAAAATTTGTTATATAATTTTATTATAGTTAAATTTTAGCAAATAATCAAGTACTAAAATATCAACACATCACCAAATTATTATTCATTGTAATTTCACAATTGAAATTCATAAAAACAATCAAACAAAAGTTATTTGAATACAATCCAACATGATGAAATAAATATAACTAAAGTAGTCAAGTTTTCACTTTTAGCACAAATACAATCACTAATTCATTATTGTGCTCGTGCTTTTTTTTTGAGAAAAAATGTTATTGTATTAAGTGTAATTAGGGATTTAGTATAAATGTATTAGTAAATTTAGTATAACCAATTAATAATTTGCATTAGTACACATATATAATTATTAGTATAATTGATAATATCAATTATATTACATATACTAATATACATTATATAATACATATAACTAATAATATCATTATCATAAGTTTGTAACTAATTAAATTATATATTATATATATAAACATATACATATATATTTTTTATATATTTATATTTTTAAAGCAGGTGGCGGGGCGGGGGTACACTCCCCTGCCCCTGCCTCGTTTCTAAGCAATTTCCCCCCGCCCCAACTCTCGCCCCATTAGCCCCCCGCAGGGCGGGTGACCGCCACTCGCCCCCATTGTCATCCTTATTTATATTTGGTCCATGCCTCTGCTTATCATCCAGACACAGCTACATTAATGATGGCATTTCTATTTCTAAATAAAAAGGCTGTTTGGAGTATTCTCTGTTCCTGCACCTTCGTTTTCTGTCTTCTTCCCACAGCATTTTGTTCTGGACGTTTGCAAAAGCTTGATCTACCAGTTCCTGGTCCCGAGTCCTATGCATTCGATTTGGCAGGTCATGGACCTTACACAGGCGTTGCTGATGGAAGAATTCTCAAATATGAAGGACCAATCCTTGGTTTCGTCGAGTATGGATACACGAAAGAGAACAGGCAAGAGTTGTTTTTCCTTGTACATAATGTTCGATTTAGTCATTAGAAATAAATATCCTCAAATTACTTAATTGGTGCATTTACTGTATGACCACTAATCTTGCCGCCTTCCCTTCCTAATTCCTATTTGGTACAGGTCCAAGCAATTATGTGATAATATTGATACAACAGACCTAGCAAAAATTTGTGGGAGGCCACTTGGTATAGGGTTTTACTACAAGACTGGAGAGCTCTACACAGCAGATGCTGGTCTAGGCCTTGTAGTGGTTGGACCTGAAGGAGGTCCTGGAAAACAACTTGCCTCTGGTGCAGAGGGCGTGCCATTTGGCTTGCCTGATGGCCTTGAAGTTGATCAAGAAACTGGAGTTATATACTTTACGGAAGCAAGCTCCCGCTACAATATCAGGTTGACAAAATAATCTGTACTATAGCTTGATTTTCTTCGACAGATACAGTTTGAGATCGAATGTTAAATTCCTGAATTGTTTACACAAAACTTATGGCTTGTTTGCAGTCAAATTTCACAAATAATTTCCACTAGAGACGCATCAGGAAGGTTATTGAAATATGATCCACAAACGAAGAAAGTCACAGTATTGCTCAGAAGTCTTGCAGGGCCAGCAGGGGTGGCAATTAGCAGAGATGGCTCGTATATTCTTGTGACAGAATTTCTGAACCAAAGAGTCTTGAAGTATTGGTTGAAGGGAACCCTTGCAAATACAACACGAGTTCTGGTAAACCTGTCAGGATCGCCAGATAAGATCAAGAGGAACTCTAGAGGCGATTATTGGATTGGATTGAATGTTCAAAGCCAAGGGCCAAATCCCACGACAATAATTCAAGGACAAAGGATAAATGGAAAAGGGCATATATTGGAAACAATAACCTTTAGCCCTGATTTTAATGCTTCAGTGATCACAGAAGTTCAAGAATACAAGGGTGCACTATACTTAGGTTCTCTATTTGTTGGATATGTGGGAGTATACAGGAAATTTCCGTTAACATTGATATGATGATAGATGAGAACTGAGAATCAATAAGCTGATTACACAGGGCTTTGCCATTATTCTTTTGAAAATCCATAAAGTGCAGACAAAAATGAACACCATTTGATTGCATATGTTACTTTTTTTTTTACCTTTTTTTTGTCCCTTTGGAGAAAAATGGAGTATGAATGCATGTTTCAAGTTTCAATTGTTGACTTTCTGTATTGGGGAGCCAATTCACCTACATTTTACATCAGGTTGGCAACATAATTAATATAATACTACATGATACTCCGAAAGAGTGGTTGATATGGATTATTGTAAAGAAAGAAAGAAAATTAATGGGAAATAAATCCTACACATGGAAAAAAAGAAACGTTCTGTTTAACCGGTGTTCCACGGGCGCTCATTAAAATGTATTTCAAGTGTTAGATTTTTAGAAATAAAAAAAATGCAAAAGGATTAATTAGAAAAAGTGTATAAATATAAAAAAAAAAGTAATAATTATTAGCGTGTGTATATACATAGTAGATTGGGTAGAATGTAGGTGCTTTACCGGTCAGAAAAACCCAAAAAGGAAATCCTACTCATTCAAATGGTAAAAACATAGATAAGATACATTTTTCTGATATTTGCATACATTTGTCATTTTTAGTTCTCTTATTTGGATTTGTCACTTCCAGCTACTCAATATCTTTTATTTTCTCATGCAATAGCTGGTCTAATTATGTGAAACAAATCAGCTTTCACGATAAATCTAACCAGTATTGTTAAGTTATTTTGGTACAATATAGTCCCAAAGCAAACGGGTAAACCTCATCATCATTCTCATCCTCCTGTAGGACTTGCTTCTTAAATTATTCATGACAAGTGGGACATTATCATTCTAGTCATGAAAGGTGTACTCGATCGAGGGCTGAAGGTGAATCTTCTGCCATTTACACCTCCAAAGTAAGGTGGTTGTCAAATGCTACAGGATTGATGAATAATGCAACTACTGGTACAGTGATTCTGGCCATTAATTTTTAGAACTGCAATACCTCGGACTCCAACTTTTACCAGGTCTAAACTCCAAAGTAGAGATAAAACATTAATTATCATTCAACTTGACTGACCAACACAGGTGAAGTGTCACCATCCTTCTCAAATTTAATAAGGTGTTCATATATACCAACCCCTGACTGATTAACTTCTCCTATTTCACTTGAGCACTTTTGCCTTCTGATCTCCATCAGAGCAAAAGATGGTAGTAGAAACTATACTTGGTGTTGTTTCAACAATCTTGATGAAGCTAATTCCACTTGCTGTCGAGCAGATCTCTCTTGCTTGGGCTGTTTATGAAGATCTCCAAAACCTTTCTAAGAAACTAGAGATGATTCAGGCTGCAGGCAGATGACTAGCAAAGCTGTGCAGCATTGGCCCAAAAATCTTCAGACAGTAACACTTGATGCTGACACCGTGTTGGATGATTTTGGACATGAAGTTCTTGGCCACAAGATTGAGATTGGAAAGGGTGCTAAGGTGAGCAGTTCTTTTATGTTTCGCTGAGCGATGGCCAAGAAGATAGAGAACATATTATCTTTGATGAAATGGTAAGGTGCTGAGGTGCTTTGATGAAAGAATTTGCTTAGCGTATCTGATGATTTTGAAGTGGAAAGGCTGTTGAATGAGATGCTGTAATCTTTGAAGGGAACCAAACTTGGGACGACAAACAGTAAGGCAATGTTAAAGAGGTTTTAAAAGCATTTAAAAGTGATGTAGAATAGGTGCCAGGCAACTTTTGGGTCAAGATGGATTGGGCAAAGAAGGGAAGGAAGAGCCAATCGAGATGCATCATCGGTGCAGGTTTCTGGAGCCAATTTGGCCATGGATTCAGCTGAGCTAAGACCGGATTCTCAGCTGGATTCAAGGTAGAGGTAAGTGTGGCTTATAGACTGAATCCAGTCCACAATTCAGCCTGCAATCTGGCCATGGATTTGGATCGGGCCTTTGCACAACTTTTATTTTATTTCAATATTTTTGGATATGTACACTCTATTTCTAGAATAATTTTTTATAGCTTATAAACAGGCATAGTTAGAATTTTTCCTATCACACTTTTGTCAACTTATATCAAACTTTATTGGAGATTTATTGGTAGTGTTCAATGGTTCATCCTAAACTTGTAGGGACAAGTATAGGATCCTCTTCCCACCATTCAAATTAGTTTGGTAGAACTTTAACATTTCAATGATTCAAAATCCAAGCTCATTCAAATTAGTTTAGTAGAACTTTAACAGTTCAATGGTTCATCCTCCCAATTTCCAACGCTAGCTCTGATATCTTATTTTCTTCAGTTTGGTACTTTTAATTTTCTCCTGTCAGACAAGTACTTGCAGAAGTTTCATATGTACTGATCAAGTTTATTGGTTTTTGTATATCTGATGAGTTGGACTAAAAAAAATGAAAAATGTATAGTTCTTATTGATGAATGAAGCCTGGCTTACAGTGTGTATAACATGGTCCTCAATATGAGTCCTTTTTTGGTTATAGTTCTTTGTTTTAAGGTGGCTTCAGACTAAGGATGGCAATGGGGGCGGGTGCCGGAGATATAGAAATGGGGCGGGAAATGGGGCAGGGCTGGGAAGGGGCAGGGGCAAAATATTTTCTAAAGTTGCACCCTTACTTACAAGTATAATGCTAATTAGTATTAACGGCCACCGCAACAACTGAAGAAATTTCTTGGAATATTGTTGATTTGTTTCTAAAGCCCCCCCAAAGACTAAGCTATCCAATTCCAACCTGTTTTGCTCCTAACCTTTTTTTATTTCGATCGGTTTCCTTCCTTCGCACTGAATGTAACTTGACTTGTTATGCTTTATTTCCATCTTGACAGCTTTTTAATCTTATTTAACATTGTTTACAATTGTTTTATTATAAATAAACATTTATGATAAATTGATTTCTTCCCCGCGGGGGACCGCGGGGGAAACGGGGCAGGGGCGGGGGACGGGGGGGTTATTTGACAATGGGGCGGGGTTATGGGTAAACATTTATGATAAATTGATTTTTTCCCCCACAGGGGAAACGGGGCGGGGAGTGGGGGGCAAGAGGCGGGGGACGGGGGGAGTTATTTGACGATGGGGCGGGGGGTGGAGGAAGGATCCCCTGCCCCAACCCCGCCCCATTGCCACCCCTACTTGAGACTATGAATCTATTGATTATTGAATTTTTGCACATAAACAACAAAACAAGTAGGATAGGACCATTTATAGATCTAGGCTTGCTTTCATATTAGTCATTCATTTAAGGGTTCCATTAATTTTTTTTTAAAAAAAACTCAAACATAGCTTTTATAAATCTATTCTGCAGCCCTAATTTACAGATTTGATAAGATCAACATAGTGTTCTCATTTTTTGAGTTGGCCGGAGCTTTCAAAATTGAATGCCTGCTTATATATATATATATATATATAATATCCGAATTTCATTAAAATCCGTAGTAATGACAGAAGTTATATCATTAAACATACATAGATATCAAAGAACAGATCTGAATAAAGGATACTCCAGATCTGAACAATAATAAAAATTACATTGTAAAGCTTCAAATTTGAAAAATGAGGTAAAATAATTGCAACTCCATGGACATCTGTATATGCTTCCAATTGTCAAATCTGTTGATTAACTGCTTCAAGTCCAGATATTATAGTGAAATTTGACGAATAGATCCAAGAAATTCCATAATCAAATGTGATTTGCGATGAATTTAGGCAAACATGTATAAAAACCAGAAAACGTGCCCAATTCATATGAAACTTTCCTTTTGTTACAACTTATCGAAAGCATTTTCTATTATGGAAACTACAGGATTCGGACAGGTATGGATTGTTTTTACTAGTACTTTGTTTATACTTTGTCATGACTACCCATCACTCTGGTCTATCTTCAAATAAACTGCAGGAATAATAATAGTAATAATTTGCAGCTATTGGATGTTGATATTCAATTTGAATTTCGTTATCAATCCTCTTTGGATATTGATCCATTTCTTTTTTCTGTTGCCTTCTGTTGTAGAGTGGAGTTAGATAATGAATTGGTAGACCATTTATGATGGAGGGTGGCGGCACTGGTGTATGTTGGACTACAATACTGGGATTTCGTTGCAGCCGTTGGATGCTGAAGTGGAAGTTTGCACATTTGGGTGCCGGCGGTTATGGTTAAGTAAATGTGGATTGGAAGAATCTGAGGAGGAGGATTATCGCGAGCGAGGCGGCTGAGTTAGGAGAGAGGGGACCATTTTTTTCCTTTCTTCTGCAGGTTAAAAGGGATTTTGGATTTGTGGATGTGGTGGATGGTGGATATGGATGGGGATTAGGGTAGAAATGAATCTAATTAAGTCGAACATCCTAGTGTTCAAACTTGTTTAATTATTTTAATGAATTTGAAATTTGGTACAAGTTTGCCTTGTTTATTTGTCAAACCGATTTGAACGAACGTTTTATCTGACTTAAAAGTTATTGAACATAAAACGCTGTTCAAACTTAGTTTGACTAGTTGACGATCTAAATTAGAACGAGCTCTTATAAAGTCGAGTTCAATTCAATTATTGAGTAGTTTGGTTCATCTTTCAACTCTGAATGAGAAAGCGATGTCGAGAGTGTGTCGATGAGCTGAGCTGTGCCACAAACTCGGGGTGGGGTGGGGGCGGGGCTGTCGTTTCTTCTTCTTCTAGCATGTGAGATAAATGGAAGGAAAAATGAGGTTAATTTGCAGAGGAAACTGGAAGGTCCCCCAAACATAAGGGGAAGAAACCTTTCCAAGTCTTTAAAGCTGGAAATAGCTATTGCAACCATGGTTAGCCATTTCAGCCGAGTCATAACCAGAACAGAGGAAACTGGTACGATACCAATCCCCAAATCGTCAATAATTTCATATTCGCAACGATTCGCTCTAACTCGGTCAATATTGGTTGATGCAAATCCGTGATGCATGGTCAAATATTCGAATCAACTTGAAGTCGACTCGAATATTTTTTTAGATTGTATCTTTTATGGTATTTTTTATTTTTAGTAATTTTTTCAGATTTTTTTTGAAAATTTATGTGTTATAATGTACGTATTACTTGATATTCAATCGTTATGCCTCGGCAAATATGGAACAACCGTGACTGCAACCCACGCTGGCTAACCATGATTCCAACTATGACCTGGTTTGAGGGGACCAATTACCAGCCACCATTGACGAATCGCAATCCTTTGGCTGGCCCGCCATTAAACATCCTATTCTTGCATATTCTTCTTCAACACTTCCACATGGATGTATCAACAGTAATAGGTTTCCCTGAAAATATCTTGGGCCTTAATTCACACAGTTGCATTGGCTGCACTTACAGTTGAATCTGAGAACATGTTCAAGACGTCTTGGTTTCTTGAGTTTGGTACTTTCAATCTTCTCTCTTGAGACAAGTATTTGCTGAAATTTGATACACATTGAGAAACTTATTTGGTTTTTTTTTTTCCCACAAATTTGACTAAAAAATTCATAGATTCATTAGAACACAAAATTCATCTTTTTTTTAACTTAGACACAAATGTGATCGTCATCATAAATCCAATGCAAGAATTCAAACATAAGAGGTATACAATGATCCACGTTGAAGATAAGTTTTTACCTCTATTTAAAAAAAAAAATCTATAATTGACAGTCAATCCCCCCTCCCCCGCCTGGGGTACCTACAGGATCCTAGCTTTGTCACTGGTTCAAATTGAATTTAGGTATGAAAAGTCAATTTATCTCATCCTACAACTCGCCTACTAGATTGCTTGACTTTTTTTTTCTGTCAGCAATCCTTACAAAAAAGAAGCCTTTAGAAAACTGTAAACGCTGTAGCAGGAGTATAAACTATCATCAAGGATACTGTAGTGCATTCTTGAAGTTAATCATAAGAACCTTCCCAATAATGGAGACTACTCCAAGCACCAAAGTTCCATGCATATTTCTTTGTTCATTAGTTCTTATTTTCTCAATGCCATGGAGCACTAAAGCTCAAATTCATGAGAGATTTCTTCGGTGTCTTCATTCTCAGAACAATGACTCAATCTCCCAAGTCATTTATACGCCAACAAACACTTCGTATAATTCTGTTCTGCAATCTTCCATACAGAACATAAGATTTTTATCTCCCATGGAAAGAAAGCCATTGGTCATAGTTACGCCACTGAGCAATTTTCACGTTCAGTTAGTTGTTAATTGTGCAAAATCCAATGACTTACAGATCAGAGTTAGATCAGGAGGCCATGATTACGAGGGTCTTTCTTATCTTTCCTATTATCTCCAGCCATTTGTTATTGTTGATATGAGGAATCTGAATAGAATATCCATCGATACTGAGAGTAAAACCGCCTGGATTGGAGCTGGAGTAGGCCTTGGCGAACTCTATCATGCAATTGCTGAGAAGAGCCCCAATCTTGGCTTTCCGGCAGGTACATGTCCTACCGTAGGAGCAGGTGGACACATTAGTGGGGGAGGAGAAGGCACGTTGACGCGAAAATATGGCCTAGCTGCTGACAATGTCATTGATGCTAAAATTGTGAATGCGGATGGAGCAATTCTTGATAGAAAATCAATGGGAGAGGATCTTTTCTGGGCTATTAGAGGTGGAGGAGGAGCCAGTTTTGGAGTAATTCTTGCGTACAGGATCCAATTGGTATCCGTTCCATCGATAGTTACTGTTTTTTCAGTCAACAGATCTTTAGAACAGAACGCAACCAAGCTTGTCCACCTGTGGCAACAAATTGGATATAGGCTTGATCGAGACTTACTCATCAGAGTTTTTATTACACAGGCGAGGAGTGGTGGAAAATTAACAGTTCAAGCTGCATTTCAATCTTTGTACCTCGGAACAGTTGCCAAGCTTCTACCACTGATGCAAGAAAGCTTCCCTATGCTGGGATTGCGCAAAGAAGACTGCATAGAGTTGAGCTGGATTGAGTCTGCTCTTTATTTTGCTGATCTCCCAAGTGGATCAACTGTAGATGATTTGGTACGCAGCACTCCATATCCCAAAAATTATTACAAAAACAAATCAGACTACGTAGTCGAGCCCATCTCTGAAGTTGCATTGGAAGGATTGTGGAAAAGACTCTTCGAAGAAGGGGCTGAGGCAGGTATGCTTATCCTTTCACCATCTGGTGGAAGGATGTTTGAGATTTCAGACTCTGAAACTCCATATCCACACAGAGCTGGAAACATATACCAGATTCAGCATATCGCTTCTTGGACTGAAGAGGAGAATGCAAACTCACAAAGATACATAGATTGGATCAGGAGGCTTTACAAATACATGGCTCCATTTGTTTCCAAATGTCCCAGAGCTGCATACCTGAATTATAGAGATTTGGACTTGGGAACCAACATGGAAGGCAACACCAGTTTTGCACAAGCTAGTGTCTGGGGTATGAAGTATTTTAAGAAAAATTTCTACAGGTTGGCCCATGTGAAGCAGGAGGTTGATCCAAGCAATTTTTTCAGATATGAGCAGAGCATCCCTCCTTTCTTATCCTCGATTAAATGGAGAAATGCTTAAAGGATTGGTGCATAAAAACATATATGAAAAGGTCATCTATAAGAAATAACTACATATGGGTACAACTACAGTTAGCTTAGGTCAGTATGTGTTTTCTTTTGTATACTTGATACAGTTGTGTAGTTTAGTAAACTTGGAAATATGTAATACATCTGTGTAGATGTTTGATTATGTTAGTGCTGTATACTAGATACACTTTGTGGTTTAATAAACTTCGAAATATGTAATACGTCTATGTAGACGTTTGATAATGTTAGTCTTGTGACACATGAGATTTTCCTTGAATGCTATGAGATTCTATCTTGGCCTTATTTTGTGTATATGTTGACATTTTTATTCAGCATTTGTTGCATGTTGGTGTTTATTGGCTTCTCCGATAACTTGCTTCTTGTACACATTTGCTTCTGGAATTCATCTTCAGGTCATTGTTCAACTTGTGAAATGGCAAAATATTCTATTTTTGTGGTACTGAATACTTTACTTGACATATGTAACCAGTACTGTAATTGATTTCAAAACCTTAAACACCTCTTGGATTTATGTATAGATTAGGTTATGCACATATATGCAAAAAGTAGTGCTTTCTCCTGCATATCTGCAATTCTCCTTGGTCGGTCCTGGTTAAATCCCTTTTGCTCTAGAGGTAGGTTTCTCACCATTAAATCTCTCTATTGAAAAAAAAAAGGGAATATGTGATGTCCTAATTTGCATTTGAATTTGACAATAATTTTCTGAGCACTTTCTTCGTTATTATTCATAGATTGTTTCTCCTCTCTTGGCAATTATTTGAACACTAATCTTGTCACTATTTGTTTAGTTCACAGATGCTTTTCTGAGATAATTAAGCTTGAGTTTGGCTCCATATATACTTGCCAGTGCTAGCCTGCCATTTTTATATGTAGGCTATTACACATGGATTGTCATGAAAGGACAATTGTTGAGCATGCATCTGCCATTTTGATCATGCTCAACAAATAGACTAACCTTGAGAGATTATTAACTGTTTAATGAGAATTTTCCTTAAGATGACAATTCATAGACAAGATGACACTTTTCTGTTATTTGCATGCATCTTCTGCCATTAATACCTCAAAGGAAGGTATTTGTCAAGTGCTACAGGATTGATGAATAATGCAACTACTGGCACAATGATTCTGGCCATTAATTTTTACAAATGCACGAGCTAGGGGTCCAACTTTTGCCAGGTCTAAAGGAGAGGAAAAACATTGATTATTATTCAACTGACCAACGCCAATACAGGTGAAGTGTCACCATCCTTCTCGACACTACTAGGTGTCAGACATATCTTACTGCTCATGACTGATCATCCTCACATATCTCACTTGAGCAATTTTTCCTGGCAGCAAAAGAAGATGGCTGAATCTTTACTTGGTCTTGTTTCAACTATCTCGATGAAGCTAATTCAACTTGCTGCTGAGCAGATGGCTCTTCCTTGGGGTGTTTATGAAGATCTCCAAAACCTTTCTAAGAAACTAGAGATGATTCAGGCTGTGCTGGCTTATGCTCAGAACAAGGCCCATGGTTAAAAGATTCAGCTGAGTTGTCACCGGAATGGGACTTTCCATTCCGCTACCGGAACGAGATAATTACGAGATAATGAATTGCCAAAAACTCGGCCCAAAATTCTTCGAGATGGATAGAAACAGCTGAGTCATCCCGTATCATTTTTGAGCCAATTCGAATTTTTATTATTTTTACTAATTTTTTGTTATTTTTATTTGTCATATTTTTTTACAATTTTTAAACTATTAAATGTTTCAGAAATTTGCGTTGAGACCATCGCGATCGATATGTCGAGACTGATATGAAATGATCTGGGCCACAACCGCGACCACGGCTTTGAACCATGGAACAAGCAGATGACTAGCAAAGTTGTGCAGCGTTGGCCCAAAAATCTACAGACAGTAACACGATGCTGACACCGTGTTGGATGTTTTTGGACATAAAGTTCTTTGTCATAAGATTCAGATTGCAAATGGTGCTAAGGCGAGCAGTTCTTTTATGTTTCGCTGATTGATGGCCAAGAAGATAAAGAACATTTTCTTTGGAGAAGACTTGCAAAGAATCAATTGAGATCGGGCTTCAGGGAGTGGAGCTAATTAACAGGTCTCACAATATAAGACAAGTAAGATTGATCGATCCCTTCATAGATGACTCAGAAATTTTCGAAAGAAATGATGACATTTGAAAGGTGATAAGCAAGTTAGTTGAACGGGACTATGATAAGGACCTTCCCATGATCTCCATTGTGGGGATGCCAGGTCAAGGAAAGACAACCCCGGCTCAACTGGTGTACAAAAACGATAAGGTGATGAGGAGCTTTGATGAAAGAATGTGGCTTAGCGTATCTGATGATTTTGAAGTGGAAAGGCTGTTGAATGAGATGCTGCAGTCCTTGAAGGGAACCAACCTTGAGATGACAAACAGAGAAGCAATTGTAAGAGGCTTCAAGAACATTTATAAGGAAAAAAATTCCTTGCTTGTGCTTGATGATATTTGGAATGAGAATCGAGAGAAATGGGAATGCATGAGAAAGTGTCTACTAGAAACAGGGGGTTCTGAAGGAAGCAGGATTTTAGCTACCACACGCAGTGAGGTAGTTGCTTCAACAATGCAAACTGCTGAATCTCATCGGCTTGAGATACTGTCGGAAACGGATACTGTAGCTGGGAAGTATTTAAGAAAATTGCATTTACCAAGGTGTGGAGCGAACCAGACGGCAATAAAGATATAAGCAGAAGGATCATTAAAAAGTGTCATGGTGTGCCTTTAGCCCTCAAGGAAATAGGGAACTTATTGTGCTTCAAGAATCCTGAGTCGGACTGGTTGAAGACCGAAAGAAGCGAACTTTGGAGTTCTTCCAGCACAACAGATGGAGTTTTTTCTGCAATCGAGTTAAGTTATGATCATTAGCCTTTTTTTTCATTGAAGCAATATTTTGCACTTTGTTCTATTTTCCAAAAGACTCCATCATGAACAGGAATAACCTAATTCAAATTTTGATCGCACAAGGGCTGCACATTCCTTCTAGAGGAAGTAATTTGCAAATGGAGGTTATAACAACCTTATGCATGATTTTGCATTGCATGTATCAGCAAATTATTGCTCTAATGTGGAGAGTGGGATGGAAGTTAAAAAAGATATTGAAGCTGTCCCTTTATCTTTGAAAGTCATTGGAAAGAAAATGTCAGAGAGTTTAAAGGGAATTCCCTATAACCTGCGTACCTGTCATTTGGTAAATGGTGTTCTCAGTGAACGCATCTTGAAGAATTTTACATTATTTATGTTTTGATCATGGAAAACTGGAGTTCAAATGCCAAATGCAATAGTTGAGTTAAAAACATTTGAAATATTTCGACATCTCTACAGCTCCAATCCAAAGACTCCCAAATCCCTTCACAAAGCTCTAAAATTTAAAAACTCTACGAGTTCATGAATTACAACAGCTACCTTTTGTTGGGGAGGGGGGGGGGGGTGGGTGGGTTTGGGAATCTGATTAACTTGAGGCATGTTCACTCTGAAATATGTCAATATGGTTACGAGTGGAGATGTTTGCTTCCTGAGGTAGGACAGTTGACTATTCTTGAAACCTTGCCTTTCATTAAGGTGAGTCAAGACTAGGGATGTCAAATAGAGGAGTTGGATTACTTGCACAACAGTAAAGGTAAATTACAAATTTTTGCCTTTAACATTACCAGCTATGAATCTGCAATAAAAGCAAATCTGTCTGGAAAGTCAGGCATTAAACATTTAGAACTTTTCTGGAGTGGCACCGAAAAAGATCGCAATGCCAATTATGTTCTGGAGGGTGTCAAAACTCACTGCAATCTGAAAAGATTAACAATTGTGAGTTGTCAAAATTCGAGTTTTCCCTCATGGATAGAGATAGAAAACTTCTCCTTACAATTTGTCAACTTAGTTGAGATCAAATTGGACCGGTTGAATGAGTGTGAGCAACTTCCTTCACTTCGGAACTTGCCTTGCCTTCAGATTCTTCATATTTTTGGCCTACACAAAGTGACATGCATTATGGGTAGCTCAAACATTCTTAACAGTAACAGGAAAGCAGTTTTGCTGTCCCATCCCTGAAGAAACTTCGGCTGTTGAATATGCATAGGCTGTTTGAGTGGTCAGGTGCAATGATTCCACCAGCTGGTTCATCCATCAAGTTTTCCCAAATCTAGAGAAATTGTATCTCTACGGGCTTCCTAAGTTGGATGTTTTACCAAATCTGGGAATCCAAACACATCTACAACGGTTAGAAATTTGTCATTGCCAAAGCTTGACTTGTTTGCAGGACATGACAATTGTCCAACTTCATTTTGGTTCACAGATTGCCCAAAAATAACTCTTCCTTCTAAATCTCCAAAATTGAGTCAGTGCTCTGAGGATTCCAACTGTCTGGAAGATCTTCTGTGTACACAGTTTGTGAAGGTCTGTAGAGCTCTTCAGTACGTTCTGTATGCTGTGGAATTTAAAGGGCTGGGCATTACAGAAGCAGAGTGGTTGGACTTTAAGCAATTACCTTGAACAGAAGCAATGCAACAGAGGTGCATTCAAGAAAATGGCCCCAGATTGCTCATATTCCTGAGTTTGATATTGTAGGTAACTTCTGTTCTACGATGTCTTCTTGATTTTCCCAAAGTTCCAAATTTGGACAACTCTTTGATTTTTGTCTCAGGTCCTGGTTCTTCACTCAGTTTAAATTTGTATGTATGAACTCTTAATCGCTTATGTCTTCTTGTAAAACTTTCATACATATCTGCAATGACTGCTTAGATTCCATTTTTAATGCTGTCACAAGGTCCTCTTCAACACTGGCTTTTGGCACTAGGGGGAGCAACATAATCTGATTGCAGAATTCAAGCAATAAGGTGAATAAACTCTCAGCTAGATGTATTCATTCGTCCATTTTATTTTCATATATAAAATCCTACTTTTAGTCAATCTGATTTTCTGCAAATCCATGAGGTCATCTGCAACAAACTTGACAAATATTGCAATAAAACTTGCTACAACAAATTTTCTGTTCTGTACACCAAATACTATCGATGGCCTCATTCTGTTGTCAACCTCATGTCTCTGCTGCAGGTTTATCTTCTTGTATTATGCCAAAGCTGCTGATCCTGTATTGGCGGCCTCTAGATATTATCGAAGCTTAGTGTTTTTATAAGCCAATGCAATAAGTTGCAGGTTCTTTCATGTTTGCTTGAGCAATTTCTTTACCTTCTTAGGATCCATTTGGCTAGATGGACATTGAAAGTTGCAGCTTGGAAATCTTCTACATGGAAATTTTCATGAAATCTTATCCTTTTCTGTTATTTTTATGACATTCTCATCTGGTATTGATGCTATTTCTTGGCCTATATCTAAATAGCTAATGTAAGTCTCACTTCATGTTTAATATATTAGTGAGTTATATCAAAGGATGACTATACCCTAAAAGAAAAGCCACAGCCCCGGATTGCCAGAAAACTATTCATTCCACCATACAAATTTGAAATTGATTGTAATAACTTATAAGTATGAAGGATCCGTTGATCCTGGGGCAAAAAGAAAAGAGGGAGACAAAAATCAGCAAGTTTTTGAACATATTTGATGAGTTGGACTTAAAAAAAAAAACACTCAAAGTTTATGCAATTTCTCGTGTCCTGAACTTCATCTGATCTCCCTTCCTCCATTTTTTTTTTCAACTCCAACCCCCATTGGATAATAATTCAACTTTCAGCAATTTTTTGCCTAAGCATAGTGTGAAGTTATACCACCTCATCCGAGAGGTGGTTGTGGTAATTTTTCTTCTTATACAATATGAAGTTACATTTGGGAAATTTGTATCAGTTCCAAACTTCCATGGTGCAATACAACATCTTTAAGTCCTGGAACATTAGAGCTTATCTTTTTGTAAGCATTCTCAGTTCATATGTTCAGAAAAATTAAGTCCCCTGCCATGAAATTTAGATGTTATCGTCCAAAGCAGACAGGCATCATCCTAGACATTTTGGCTACTGATATGGTGTTGTTCTATTCCCTGCTATGGAAAAAAACCCTGTTAAAAAAAAAAAAAAAGAGTAGTTCTTATTGATGAAGGAAACCTAGCTTACGGTGTATATAACATGGTCCTTAATTTGAGCCCTTTCTTTCATATTAGTCATTCACTTTAAGGGTTGCATCAATTTTTTTTTTTTTCTCAACTCAAACATAGCTTCTATAAATCATGCGCAGACCAGGGCATGACCCACAAGTACAAAGTTATAGTCAAGGGTTCCATTAATCACTACAAGGAAACATGTTACTTTTGATTACAATCTATTCTGTTGCCCTAGTTTACAGATCTGATGAAGATCAACATAGAGTTCCCACACTTTGAGTTAGCAGGAGCTTTCAAAATGGAATGCATGCTTATATGGGTTATATAGCATAATGTTGAAAATACAAGAGACATTAACAACCTTTTTACAATGAAACCTTAAATCTAACTACAGGAAGGTTTTGGGCGTATTAGACAAATAATTTAGATTTGAATCTTCATGGGTGAACTTGGAAGGCCCTCTTGTTGTACTCTTCAATTCCTCCCTCTATCAATTTTTCTTCAAATAGAAATGATCTTTTAATCAAACATATACAAATCATTATCATTATCATTATTATTACTATCACTATCATTATTATCACCATATAAAATGTATGATGAGTCTTAACAGTGTAAGTAATTTTTTATCTTAGTATTTGTTATCTCTAAATTACCGTCATGTCTTTTAATTATAATTATTACATTTCAATGTGGCACTAATTAAAAGAACTAAAATACTCCAATTGATTACATCTCAATAAAGTCGGTAATTATGATTAAAAATTGCCCATTTAAAACTATTTACTTACTTTGGACTCCATCTCCAATTATTGTAAGTATCAAAATTTCTTTAATTGAAGTATGAAAAATTTCTCATTAGCCATAATTTGAGATTGTAAAAAACCAATGTCAAAAAATAGATACTCTCTGGAAAACAAGAGAAACATACAAGGAGAAAAGAACCCTTATTCATTTGTATATCTTCATACAAATATTGCTGGCCAATTTCACAATTACGTACTTTTTACCAATATGAAGAAATCAAAAAGGAACAAAAGTGAAATAGAAAGCCAACTATTTCAATCAAATGAATTTTAACTCACAACTAAATAACCAATCTAAAATGATTGAGTATTATGAATCATTTATGTTCTTTATTAACAATAAAAACACTTAGATAAAATGCAAATAGTCCAAATTCAATCAATATTATACTTCACTTTGTCCTATTCAAATTCATATAAAAATTGAAAAGCTGAAGAACTATAACAAGACATAAAATAGAGCACTTAAATGTTTATGTAACTAACAAACATGCAAGCAATTTAGTTTTAATTGAAATGACACTTCATGTCACCCGAATCCAAGCAAACAACAAAAAATTTTCTTATATTTCACCTATAATCAACTAACTAATTTTGATTCACAATTAGAGTTTTTTCATCTAAAACAAAAGGAAGAAACATCCATGGACTAAGTTAAATGTATCCATATTGAATATACCAAATTAGTAGAATAAAGGAGCAGCTGTTGTTTGTGCTTTATGTTGCATTGCCTTCAAATAAAATTATAAAAAAAAATAGAAGATAAATGAAATAGAGATTACCCAACCTCCTTTGCCAATGAAATTTCAATTGATGACAATGAACATTCACATAGAAATAATTAAATATGATGGATTAAAAATACCTCGTGAATTAAATAATTACAAAGAGTTCATATACATAAACAATTAAAAAAATGGTGCAAAAAAATTAAAAAATAGTGCAGCTCACTTCATAGTAAAGAACTTCATCAAAAAGCTAACTAATTCAACTCATATAACATAATAAAATAATTAATAATCATCTACCCCACAAAGAATTAGGTTTTATACGAAATGAAAATTGTAGAAAACTTAAATCTAAAGAAAAAGGAATACCATTCATGTACTTTATTCTTAAATAATCAACCGACTGTAATTCTACAATTAAATAATTAGTAATCATAAGTACTTATATTGTAACACTATTCAGGAAGTATTTAATAATTTAACCAAATCTTAGTTTTTCAGTTGTTAAAATCTGATAATTTTACTAGAAAATCCATCATAGATTTTACTTTCAATTAGGAAAAGGCATCGCAGAACTGATAAATGAGCTTGCAAAGGCATTTAAGGAGGAGAGGAGAGGGGGTGGGGAGTGGACGTCCAAAAACTATCTATGGCCTCATTTCTGTAGTCAACCTCATGTCTCTGCTGCAGGTTGATCTTCTTGTATTATGCCAAAGCTGCTGATCCTGTATTGGCGGCCTCAAGATATTTTAGAAGCCTAGTCTTTTTATAAGCCAATGCAATATGTTTGCTTGAGCAATTTCTAGAATTGAAGAATAGTTTACCTTCTGAGGGTCCATTTGGCTAGCTGGACATGGAAAGTTGCAGCTTGGAAATCTTCTACATGGAAATATTCATTTTCTTCATGCTTTAAAAAAGATGAAATCTTATCCTTTTTCTGTTCACATTCTAATCTGGTATTGATGCTATTTCTTAGCCTCTAATGTAAGTCTCCCTTCATGTTTGATATATTAGTGAGTTATATCAGAGGATGACTATACCCTAAAAGAAAAGCTGCTGCCCCGGATTGCCAGAAAACTATTGATTCCACCATACAAATTTGAAATTGATTGTAATAACTTGTAGTATGAAAGATCCCTTGGTCTTGGGGTAAAAAGAAAAGAGGGAGAAAAACTCAGCTAGTTTTTGAACATATTTGATGAGTCCTGAACTTCATCTGATCTCCCTTCATTTTTTTTTTTTTTTTTTGACTCCAGCCTCTATTGGATAATAATTCAACTTTCAGCAAGTTTTTGCCTAAGCACAGTGTGAAGTTATATCACTTCATCTGAGAGGTGGTTGTGGTAAGTTTTCTTCTTAGACAATATGAAAGTGTATGCTGCAATTTGTCACTAAATGTTACATTTGGGAAAATTCTAATATCTTTTTAGGTCAAAAAAGTTCAAATTTGGATAATGTTTACAGCTAAAATTGGTTAAAGAAATTGAAAAACATACATAAATTATATTATGAGATAGATAATCGAAACTTCAGAACAAATTTTAATTGTTACAAAAATATTATATTATATTCACGTGCTTTGCATTTACTAGTATGTATAGAAACCAATAAACATGCTCAATACAAATGAACCTCTTCTTTTTTCATTACAACTTACCAAGAGCATTTTCTACCAAGAAACCACGAGATTCAGACAGGGACACTTATAAACGTAATTATTATATTCGTATGTTGAATTGATCTACATGAACGAAATTCACTTGTACAACAAAATATAGTATAAACCGGATCGTGTAAAAATTTATAATAACGATACAACCGCAACAAAATCTTATCCATACCTGATCCAAATTTAAAAAATACTTGACAAATGATGAATAAAGAAAAGAGACGCTACCAACTGGGGTTGGGCCAAGTGGTAAGCAGCTTGGTTCCGCTTAAGCAGGTCTCGGGTTCGAAACCTGGCGTATGCAGCTACCCTTGTTGGGAGACTCACCCACCACAGTCAGGTGTGCGACCCGGGTCGACCAACGGATTAGTCAGGGCAAAGCCCTGGATACCGTGGCAGGCAATCAAAAAAAAAAAAAAAAAAAAGAAAAGAGACGCTGTGGAGTGGACGTCCAAAACAGACAATCAAATCACGGCCGCCTGGTGGACTTTTCCACTGTATGCGTGCATGCATGCATAACCCAGTGATCTAAGAAGAGTGGATACGGGGCAGGCACGGTTTTCATGAGGGCAGTTTCTGAGCAGTTTACGATTAAGATTTGATCAAAAAAAATTATACGATCCAAATATCATCTTATACCTCGTTTTTAACAGGTGTGAAATTCACAAAATTTTATTCTAAAATTACACGTTATTGAAAGTAAGTTATACTATGTACAAACAAAATTACGCCATATGCAAAATGCACAAAACCTTCAGGAACGGTTGCAAGAAGAGTTAAACCTGAAATTTCCATCAGCACCCGTATGTCCGATTGTGACTCAGTTTTCGTCGATTTCAATAATTCCGCTGGGTTATCCTCCTAGAAGAGGTTAGAATTGGAGTAAAAGTACGTATATATGATAAAAATTGATTTAAAAAAAAAAAAAAACTCCCGCTGTTCGATTGGCCTGGACAACTTGGCTACGTACGTTTGTGCCCCGAGCCCTTTCAGTACTTGTCCTTGAAAGCTTCCCTTTGTTTTTTTTTGTTTCAATATTCTACAGTCTTTGTTTTTTTTTTCTTTCCCTGGGCCCAATACTTGTCCTTGAAAGCTTCCCTTCCAAATACTCTCTTAACTTTTTAGGTTTAAATCAGGAAAATTAATTAATAGGGACGGGTTTGAAATCGACCCTCTCCCAGACCATTCGTGTATCTAACATTTTTTTTCCCTCGTTCTTTGGCCATGAAGTTTCCCCACTTTCTAATAGTCTAGGAAAATACATGCATCACAGACTGTAATTCCGGAAGGAGTTACAGACAATTTATGGCCGCAAGAATCCATGAATAGTAGCAAAGAAAGTGTTCAAAAAATTATGGTCAAATTCAAACGCAAATTAGGACATTTTGTAGCTTTTTATCTATTTGTTTTTTTTCTAAAGAGGTTAGAAGGAAAGAAATCTACTTTAAGAGCAATAGGGTGCAAACTACATACCCCTTTGATTTAATCAGGATAAACTTAAGAGAACTGCAGGTATGCTGGAAGCACTAAGTTTTGCATATATGTGCACAACCTAATGTATATATAAATCTAAGAGGTGCTTGAGATTTTGAAATCGATTACGGTACTGGTTGCGTATACGGTATACCAAGAAAAGTATTCAGTACCACAAAAATATAATATTTTGCAATTTCACAAGATAAACTGTTGGGCTCTGAGAGAGCCAAACTCGGGGAGAATTTAACCATGAGCTAGAATGGGAACCACAACCATGGGTTTGACACCACATCTAACCCAAAACCTTAAGGCATTGGGTCTATGGATCATTCGCACTTATATATTCCTCATTCTACTCATCTCTTTCCGATGTAAGATATTGATTCACACTTGATATCCCAACATAAACAATGACCTTAAGATGAATTCCAGAAGCAAATGTGGATAAGAAGTAAGTTATAAATAAGTTTGTGGAATTGCTTTCAGCCAGTTTCTGGCCGAGTATAATGTGAACTTACATCAATGTTTTTAAATTCGGATCGGTAATTGAACCAATTGAGCTACCATTCTCAGTTTAACCGGTTCAATTGGCCGGTTCATCATTTTTTTATTTAAAAAATCTGAATATCATCATTCCCTACCATCCGGTACAGTGATAATTCTTGCGGTGATAGATGATCTCAAATTTCTAATTTCTTTCACTTCATCCTCATCACCCAAAGTTAACAAATAAATTTAACAATTTTGGACACATTAATTTAAAGTAATCTTTTCCCAAAAATAAAAAAAAAAATTCTCCAGAACATGAAAAAATCAAATAAATAAAGTAATCTTGTGAACATTCATCACTGTAATTTCATCCAGCCATCAAGTGGGAAAACTTAAAAATAAAGTAACCTTGTGAAAATCCACCAGTGTAATCTCTTCTAGCCACCAAGTGAAGAAAACTTCAAACAAAACCATCACAATTCAAAGAAAATCTTCAAAGAAAAAGGCCAAAAAATGCATTATATGTAAAAAAAAAAAAAAAGGAAAAATGCATCATATAAAAACAAACAAAAGAAAAGTTCAAACCAGAATAAAAACTTCATATATAGAAAGAAAGAGAAAAAAACTTCAAGAGACAAAAGTGAAGTGAAAAAAAAAAACAAAAGAAGGTAGAGATTGATTAGAAAGATAGAGTTTGTGAATGAATTTGTTGGCCATGAAAATCCTTGTGATTAAAGGAGGAGAAGATAGGGGTGAGATTGGAAAAAAGAAACTAGAGACTTTGGAGAGTGGTGAGAAAATGGGAGAGGAGAAGATGACGGCTGAGAGCTACGGCTTGGCTTGTGTCTCTTTTAAACTTCTTAGGGGATTGACATTTTTTCCTTTGTAGTTTTTCTTGTACAGTTTACAACAAAGTTGGTAGTAGTGCAATGGTATCACTTTGGTTTCCTATAGCAGCGAAGAAAATGAAAATCCGGGATTCACCAGTTCAACGGTATCACTTTTTTTCTCTGGTTTTCTTTGTTTTAAGGTGGCTTGAGATCATGAATATATATATATATTGATTATTGAATTGTTGCACAAAGACAACAAAAAAAGTAGGATAGGACCATTTATAGATCTGGGCTTGCTTGCATATTAGTCATTCATTTAAGGGTTCCATTAAATCTAAAAAAAAAACTCAAAAATAATTCAAAGTTAAAGTCAAGGGTTCCGTTAATCACTACAAGGAAACATGTTCCTTTTAATTACAACCTATTCTGTTGTATACAGATATGATAAGATCAACGTAGAGTTCTCATATATTGAGTTAGCTCGAGTTTTCAAAATGGAATGCCTGCTTATATTATGATTAATACCATAATGTTGAAAATACAGGAGGGGGAAGGAGTGTAAGCAAGAGATCTCGGGTTCGAATCTTCCCGCTTATACAGCAAAAAAATAATAATAATAATACAGGAGACATTAACAAAGTTTTACAATGAAACCTTAAATCTAATTACCCAAAGATTTAGGGCGTATTTAGGCAAACATGTATAAAAACCAATAAACGTGCTCAATACGTACACATGAAATTTTCCTTCTGTTACAACTTACCAATAGCATTTTTTATTATGAAAACTATGGGATTTGGACGGGTACAGTTGGATTTTGGTACAATTAGTAAGGCTAAAATATTTGTTTCAAAAGTTGATATACGATTGTAAACGTGATTGTATTTATATATTGAATTGATGTACATGAACAAAATTCATACGTATAATAAAATATAATATACAGCAGATCATGAAAATTTTATAATAACTATACAACAGTACGAAAATCTCCAATTCCAGAAAAAAGGGTTGACAAATGGTGAATAAAGAAAAGAGACGCTGTTGACGTCGCCGGCAGTCAATCAAATGACAGCCGCGACGTGGAACTTTTCAACTGCTTGCGTGCACGCACCCAATCACGGCGGCCGCTGATCTAAGACAAACTCCCGGCGGCCGGCGGCCTGGACCAACCTTGCCGCGTACATTTAAAAGTAGTCTAGAGTCTTTGTTTTTTTTCTTTTTTTTTTTGGGCCAATATTTATCCTTGAAAGTTTCCCTTCCAAATACTCTCTTAATTATTTAAGTTAAAATCTGAAAAATTAATTAGTAGGGACGGGTTTGAAATTCTTCTCCCGTACCATTCAAATTATTTAGTAGAATATTCATATTGTGAAATTTCAAAGTCCAAACCCATCAAAATATCCACATAATCTTCTCATGTTTTAAACTGATATGGAATTTCACCTGTAACCTATGTATTATTATTATTTTTTAATAAATTTTTTTCTTTTCACTTTTTTATTTTTGATACTCAAATTCCTTTGATTTAACTATTATGGGTGTTTTTATCAATTTAAAAACTTTTGAAACACTTTTAAAATTTTTAAAAATTACTATCTTCCCTCTTGCTCTTTCATCCCCCTCCCCCTCCACCCCCGGCCGCGACCTGCCACCACTACCCGCCAACCGATGCCACCTCCTTCTCTTCTCTCCTTCTTCCCTCCTCTCCTCCTCTTTCCCACTCTCCTCTCCCACCTTTTCCATCCTTCCCCCTCTCTTCCCTTCTTTTTGATGAAATCATTTCTCCATTAACAACTCATTTCTCCATTGTCACATATATTGCTCTATACTAACTACAGAATTGCCAAATAATCAATATTTATTTGTGACTTCAAGTCATCCATCAATCAAAATGGAGCCTTTAGAACTTAAACAATAGGACAGATTATACCAAATACTACAAAAGATAGCGTGACAACAATTGTATGAACTGCTCAGTTACATGCTCTTTGTTCAGATCCTAGAGATTGTGACAAATTAGTATGAAAGGAGGAGGAGCAAAAAAGGTAGGAGAGGAGAGCTCGGAAGAGGGGGACAGGAGGAGGGAGGGGGAAGGGAAAGAGAAAGGGGTAGTGGCGAGTAGTAGGGAGGAAGGAGGAGGAAGAGAGAGGTGGTGGTGCAGCAATGGTAGTTGTGTGGTAGCGGAGGAAAAGAAGCAATAAAATACAGAACAAAAATAAAAGGAAAATAAAAAAATTAACAAAAGATGGTTACCGGCATCACAGAAGGTCAAAAAATGCTATTCCACTATAGTCTGAACCATGAAAGGATTATGTGGATATTTCTTGAAATTATAAGGCGGCTAGTTAACTTTCAGCAAAACTAGAAAGGGATTTTCTGTATTTTACCCATAATTTAAACATAATGGGTATACGATGACGAAGACAAGTCTTTAACACTATCAACAAGTCTATAATTGACAATTGTCCCCCTAAATTACCAGCTGGATCCTGACTTGTTCGCTAGTCCAAATTGAATTTAGGTATGAAAAGTCAATTGATCTCATCCTTCAACTTGCCTAATAGATTGCTATCGTCAAATTGTAAGTATAAATAGCCATGCACTTAGAATATTGTAGTGCATCAATTCTTGAAGTTAAACCATAAGAACCTTGCCAAGAATGGAGACTACTCCGACCACCAAAATTTCATACATATTTCTTTGTTCATTAGTGCTTATTTTCTCAATGCCATGGAGCACTAGGGCTCAAATTCATGAGAGATTTCTTCAGTGTCTTCATTCTCGGAACAATGACTCAATCTCCCAAGTCATTTATACACCAGCAAACTCTTCCTATAATTCTGTTCTGCAATCTTCCATACAGAATATAAGATTTATATCTCCCATGGAAAGAAAGCCCTTAGTCATTGTAACGCCACTGAATGATTTTCACGTTCAGTCAGCTGTTATTTGTGCGAAATCCAATGGCTTTCAGATCAGAGTTAGATCCGGAGGTCATGATTATGAGGGCCTTTCTTCTATTTCCTATTATCACCAGCCATTTGTTATTGTTGATATGAGGAACCTGAGTGGAATATCCATCGATACCGAGAGTAAAACGGCCTGGATTGGAGTTGGAGTACGTCTTGGCGAACTCTATCACGCGATTGCTGAGAAGAGCCCCAATCTTGGCTTTCCTGCAGGGACGTGTCCTACCGTAGGAGCTGGTGGACACATTAGTGGGGGAGGAGAAGGCACATTGACGCGAAAATATGGCCTAGCTGCTGACAATGTCATTGATGCTAAAATTGTGAATGCGGATGGAGCAATTCTTGATAGAAAATCAATGGGAGAGGATCTTTTCTGGGCTATTAGAGGTGGAGGAGGAGCCAGTTTTGGAGTAATTCTAGAGTACAGACTCCAATTGGTATCCGTTCCATCGATAGTTACTGTTTTTACAGTCAACAGAAATTTAGAACAGAATGCAACCAAGCTTGTCCACCGATGGCAACAAATTGGATACCAGCTTGATCGAGACTTATTCATCAGACTCTTGATAACACAGGCAAGGAGCGGTCAGGGTGGAAACTTAACAGTTCAAGTTGGATTTCAATCTTTGTACCTCGGAACAGTTGCCAAACTTCTCCCACTGATGCAAGAAAGCTTCCCTGAGCTAGGATTACGCAGAGAAGACTGCACGGAGTTGAGCTGGATTGAGTCTGCTCTTTATTTCTCTGGTCTTCCAACTGGATCAACGGTGAATGATTTGGTACTTAGTACCCCATATCCCAAAAATTATTACAAAAACAAATCAGACTACGTAGTCGAGCCCATCTCTGAAGTTGCATTGGAAGGATTGTGGAAAAGACTCTTCGAAGAAGGGGCAGAGGCAGGTATGCTTATCCTTTCACCATCTGGTGGAAGGATGTTTGAGATTTCAGACTCTGAAACTCCGTATCCACACAGAGCTGGAAACATATACCAGATTCAGCATATCTCTTCCTGGACTGAAGAGAACAATGCAAATTCTCAAAGGTACATAGATTGGGTCAGAAGGGTTTACAAATACGTGACTCCATTTGTTACTAAATCTCCCAGAGCTGCATACCTGAATTATAGAGACTTGGACTTGGGAGCCAACAGGGAAGGCAACACAAGTTTTGCACAAGCTAGTATCTGGGGTATGAAGTATTTTAAGAACAATTTCTACAGGTTGGCCCATGTGAAGCAGGAGGTTGATCCAAGTAACTTTTTCAGATATGAGCAGAGCGTCCCTCCTTTCTCATCCTCATAGAAATGGAGAAATGCTTGAAGGATTAGTATATCATATAGTCATCTATCAGAAATTAGTACATATATACGAGTACAACTACAGTAGCTTGGGTCATAAGTGTTTTCTTTTGTATACTTATTATAGTTGATGTGTCTTAGTAAACATATAGAAATATGGGCAAGATGCATCTTTGTTAGATGTTTAATTGTGTTAGTGTTGTAACATATGTGATTCCTTGAATGCTATGAGATACTTCCTTGGGGTTTTAATTGTGTACGTATTATATTTTACAATTTTATTCACCATCTGTTGCAAGCTGGGGTTTACTGACTTCTTCATGACTTACTTCTTAGACACGCATTTACTTCTAGAATTCATCTTAAGGTCACTGTTTATCTCGTGGAGTTGCAAAATATTCTATTTTGTGGTACCAAGTAGTTTTCTTGAATGTGTAGCGAGTATCGTAGGCTCCGTTTGAATGAACTGCTTTTGAACATGTTTTTCAAAAAACTTACAATAGCGATGTATATAAATAAAAATTTATTGTAGTTGTTTGTCTGGAGTATTTTTAAAATTTTAAATAAGATTATGATATTTTTTTGAATATGAAAAAAAAAATCAATAATCACCACCACCCTCTCGATCTCTCCCTCTCTCTCCTTCCCTTTATTCCTCCTTCTTCCTCTTCCTCTCTTGTCCGTCTCTCTCACTCCCCACCCCCTTCCTCCTCCCTCTTCCTCTCCTACCCTTCTTCCTCATCCCTCTTCTCCTCCCTTGCCACCCCGGACCTCCCCTGGCTGCGACCTAAGTATCGTGCATTTGAATTTCACAATTTCTGCAATTAAAAGAGGTCCAGACACAGCATTTGAACGTAATTATTATTGTAGCATTAAATTGGTTGAATTTAGTTATTGGGAGTGTACGTAAGTTCACACAGCATCAAAGGATCAATGCAGAGTGCAGCAAAGGCGGCTAATGCCCATGACGTCATTATACAAATTACGTGTGGAACAAGAAATTGTATTAATTAGTTGGGTACCCTTCAACTCTTCAAAATAAGTCTTGTATAATAGCTTCTTCATACACTGTTCTGTAGGTCTCACACGCTTCAAATTCATATATACATCATATGAATGAATTCAACTATGCATTTTAAAAATTTCAATTTCTTTGCCAAATGTTAGATAAAAATTGGAGAGCTAAAATGCAAATAAATAGAAATACAAAGTTATCAAAGATATACATGGGAATTTTAAAATTTCCTGCAGGTGATCATATTAAATTATTTTGATGTTCATGTATATTGATTGTTGTATTGAGTAATCCAAATAATTCTATAAAATACATATTAAATTGAAATCTATTGAAATGCAAACAGAAAAAAAAAAGAAAATTTTTATTAGATTATCAACTTAATTTACATGTGATCATATATTAAAGTGATATTGTCTTGTTGAGTCCCCGCTATTCAGTTAAAAATGAAAACTGAATAGTTCTTATTGATGAAGGACGAATCCTAGTTTGCAATATATATATATATATATATATATAACATGGTCCTCAATTTGAGCCCTTTTTTCTCTGGTTTTCTTTGTTTTAAGGTGGCTTGAGATCATCAATATATTGATTATTGAATTATTGCACATAGACAACAAAAAATGTAGGATAGGACCATTTATAGATCTGGGCTTGCTTTCATATTAGTCATTCACTTTAAAAGTTGCATCAAAATTTTTTTTTTCTCAACTCAAACATAGCTTCTATAAATCATGCGCAGACCAGGGCAAGACCCACAAGTACAAAGTTATAGTCAAGGGTTCCATTAATCACTGCAAGGAAACATGTTACTTTTGATTACAATCTATTCTGTTGCCCTAGTTTACAGATCTGATGAAGATCAACATAGAGTTCTCACACTTTGAGTTAGCAGGAGCTTTCAAAATGGAATGCCTGCTTATATATATGGGTTGCATAGCACAATGTTGAAAATACAGGAGACATTAACAAAGTTTTCCAATGAAACCTTATCTCTAATTGCAGAAATGTTTCTTCCTTGCTTTCAAAATGGAATGCCTGCTTAGAAAAACAATGTAGATTTGAATCTTGATGGGTGACCCATAGTTGTACTCCACCCTCTATCTATTTTTCTTTGAAAAGAAATGGTTTTTTTTTCCCACTAAACATATACAAATATGTATAAAAACGAATAAACGCGCTTAATACACATATGAAACTTTCCTTTTGTTGCAACTTACCTAGCATTTTTTTTTTACCACGAAAAATACGGAATTTGGGTAGGTAAAATTGAATTTTGATACAATCAGTACAGTTATTGTATTTGATACAATCAATACAATTTTTTTCTAAGAGTTGATGCATAATTATAGACGTGATTGTATTCGTATAATGAATTGATGTACATGAATAAAATTCATGCATATGACACAGTACAAAAGAATATAGTATACATGAGATTGTGTAAAATTTATAATAACTATACAACTGCACCAAAATCTTGATCGAAATTTAAAACGTGCTTGGCAAATGATGAATCAAAAAAAAAAAAAAAAAAAAAGAGAGACGCTGTGGACGTCCAAGACAGCCAATCAAGTCACGGCTGCGTAATGGAGTATTTCCACTGTATGCATGCGTGCATGCATGCATGGACCTATTGATATAAGAAGAGCAAAACCTGAAATTTCCATTAGCAAACTTGAATACGTACATTTCAAAGGTAATCTAGAGTCTTTTTTTTTTTTCTTTTTTGTGCCCAATACTTGTCCTTGAAAGCTTCCCTTCCAAGTATTCTCTTAAATTTTGAGGTTAAAATCTGAAAAATTCATTCGGAGGGAGGGGTTTGAAATTGACCCTTTCCCAGTATCATTCAAATTAATTAACTAATAGAATTTTAACACCGTGAAACTTCAAATTCCAAGCTTATTAATTAGATCATCTACCTCCCAATTTCCAATGGTAGGGACGGCTTCTTGGTTTCTTGAGTTTGGTACTTTCCATTTCCTCCCATAAGACAAGTATTTGCTGAAATTTGGTACAAATTGAGATACTTATTTGGTTTTTCCACAAATTTGACTCAAAAATAATTAGCATGTGTTTTGACACCCACAAAGAGGAAACAATAAAAAGAAGAAAAAAAAACCATTCTATGGTGGCTCCAAAAAAAAAAAAACAATGATGAGAAATCCAAATCCTCTTGTATATACGCATGGCACAAATTTCACTCAGGTATAATTATAACCACAGTGTGAATGCCTTGTTTTTCTTTCTGTCATCATTGTATCCAACATTTTTTTCCTGGTTTTTGGCCATGAATTTTCCCCACTCCCTGATAGTCTAATACCAAACTCATACGCTAAAGACTAGGAAAGGTCAAATCAGTGGCAATTGGTACCCCCATCATCAAGTTTTAGAAAAATGTTATAATAGGTTTAAAGTTTTCAACTATTTTCACTTTTTGCGACTTGGATTCTTGTAAAAAGGACCTATTTGCCCCTCTGTCCACACAATTTTCCAAAATTTCTTGACTCTCACCCCTTTAAAACTAACAAAGTTCACCTTTTGATTTATAATTCTTTCTTTAAATTTATAAAATTTTCTCCGCTATGTAAGAAATCTACATAGATTCATTTAGAACATAAATATGATATTCATTATAAATCCAATGCAATAATTCAAACACAAGAGGCATAAAATTGACGCTATTAGCAAATCCATAATTGACAGTCATCCCCCCTCCGAGGACCCACAGGATCCTAGCTTCGTCGCTGGTTCAAATTGAGTTTAGGTATGATAGGTCAATCTAGCTTCGTCGCTAGATTGCTTGACTTTTTCTTTTTTCTGTCTGCAATCCTTACAAACAAAGAAACGTATAGAAAACTGTCAATGCTGTAGCAGGAGTATAAACTACCATCAAATTTGTAAGTATAAATAGCCATGCACTTACGATATTGTAGTGCATCAATTCTTGAAGTTAAACCATAAGAACCTTGCCAATAATGGAGACTACTTCAAGCACCAAACTTTCATGCATTTTTCTTTGTTCATTAGTTCTTGTTTTCTCAATGCCGTGGAGCACTAGGGCTGAAATTCATGATAGATTTCTTCAGTGTCTTCATTCTCAGAACAATGACTCAATCTCACAAGTCATTTATACACCAACAAACTCTTCCTATAATTCTGTTCTGCAATCTTCCATAGAGAACATAAGATTTATATCTCCGACGGAAAGAAAGCCCTTGGTCATAGTTACGCCACTGAGCGATTTTCACGTTCAGCTAGTTGTTAATTGTGCAAAATCCAATGGCTTACAGATCAGAGTTAGATCCGGAGGCCATGATTATGAGGGCCTTTCTTATCTTTCCTATTATCTCCAGCCATTTGTTATTGTCGATATGAGGAATCTGAGTGGAATATCCGTCGATACTGAGAGCAAAACAGCCTGGATTGGAGTTGGAGTACGTCTTGGTGAGCTCTATCATGCAATTGCTGAGAAGAGCCCCAATCTTGGCTTTCCTGCAGGTACGTGTCCTTCTGTAGGATCGGGCGGACACATTAGTGGGGGAGGAGAAGGCGCATTGACGCGAAAATATGGCCTGGCTGCTGACAATGTCATTGATGCTAAAATTGTGAATGCGGAAGGAGCGATTCTTGATAGAAAATCAATGGGAGAAGATCTTTTCTGGGCCATTAGAGGTGGAGGAGGAGCCAGTTTTGGAGTAATTCTCGCGTACAGACTCCAATTGGTATCCGTTCCATCAACAGTTACAGTTTTTACAGTCAACAGAACCTTAGAACAGAATGCAAGCAAGCTTGTCCACCAGTGGCAACAAATTGGGTACAGGCTTGATCGAGACTTATTCATCACAATCTTTATTACACAGGCGAGGAGCGGTGGAAAATTAACAGTTCAAGCAGCGTTTCAATCTTTGTACCTGGGAACAGTTGCCAAGCTTCTACCGCTGATGCAAGAAAGCTTCCCTGAGCTAGGATTGCGCAAAGAAGACTGCACAGAGATGAGCTGGATTGAGTCTGCCGTTTATTTTGCCGGTCTTCCAAGTGGATCAACCGTGAATGATTTGGTACGCAGCACTCCATATCCCAAAACATATTACAAAGCCAAATCAGACTACGTAGTTGAGCCCATATCTGAAGTTGCATTGGAAGGATTGTGGAAAAGATTCTTCGAAGAAGAAGCTGAGAGAGCTCAGCTTATCCTTTCACCATCTGGTGGAAGGATGTTTGAGATATCAGATACTGAAATTCCATATCCACACAGAGCTGGAAACATATATCAATTTCAACACATGGTGTTTT